GAGATAGGAGTGGCAGACTCCCTAGGGTGGGCGACGGCTAGCGCATCACACACCTTCTCCTTAAAATCCCTGTGTGGTGGCGGCGTGCCGTCCTCCCATCCCTCCCTTGGGTTGTATGTTTTCTTTCTTTTACCCTCCCAAAGTGGGTGATCTGGTGCTTGTATGGCCTTGAGAGTGGCCTGCCATGCCACAGGAAGGACTGTGGTTGCAGGAGAGTACCACCAGCCATCACTTTAGTTGGTATAGTACCCCACCTTCACCCCGCTCAGTGATTTCTTTTTTAGTTTCCCATAAGTAGGGTAGGTAGGTGGTAGGTAGGTTAGGGTGCCCACAGGACCCAAAAAAGAAAGGAAAAACGAAATGGGGCACTCCCGATCGCAGCACTTCATGTTGGATAGTCGAGATATTGAGAGTGTGACTAGGAGGGTGGGACGCTGGGGATTCTCAAAGGTATACCCTTGGAATGGCCGGATCCAGCCTTAAAGTACGAGATCGCGCGCGCTTCGCGCACAGCACCGCCTGTTCTCCGCGGCTGAGTGACGACGCGTGCTTGCGAGGCGAGTACTCGTTCGAACTTTGCGAGCCGTGCGCGCGCCGAGGCGCCCGCGGCGCGCGCCCGCCCGGCTGCCAGTAGGAGGCGGCGCAATATGGCCTATAGTACAGCCCTTAGGAGGAGGAAGAGGCTGGCTGGCAGTGCCGTATGCCGCCGAGGGGCAGTTTTGGGGTGCTGTCACGGGCCCAGGGGGCTGCAGAAGGCGTCCGCAGCCGGGACAACCCGCCCCCCCAGCCGAGGCCGGTCGAAGCCCACTTGAGCACAGCCATGAGGAGTCCTCTTGGTGCTCCTGGCGCCCGTTGGAATGGCGAGCGCGCGCCGATGGGGGGGGGGGGGGTCTTGCTTGCTCCACACCGAGCGCCATCGGTCCGGACCGGTGCTTGCACCGAGGGTCGGCTTGCACAAGGTCTGAGCCGCGGGCGCTCGGCGCCAAGTGCAGACAGATGATGACGACACGCATGAGCGACACACAGACACAAACAGGCTCACAAGACACACAGCCAGCTGGCTGCCACACACCCTGAGTTGGCTACACATAACTAAAACCACCTCCTCCGGGTTACACCAATCCTCGCTACCCAACGCGGCCAAAGGATATCCACCTCGAGAACCTCGAGAGAACCTCCTCCCTGAAAACGTTCGAAAAGAAAACCGCGGCATCCCGTGGACATCGTCCGCTGCTAAGACCTGGCTGGCTGCGCCCCTCCACGAGCAGAACAACTCTCTGGGTGCGCGCCTTACGCCCGCCCCCCCTGGCGCGAGGGCGGCGTCATGCCGACGCCCCAGCTGGTGGTTGCCTCGCGCTGCGCCAGCTCCGTCCCGCCGTGGCACGGTCGCGGAGAGCCAGCTGGCGCCTCGTTTCGCAAGCCTGGGCGGCGGCGGGCGCAGTGGCCGTGGGTCGGGCGACGGGTCGTACAGCCGTTTGTGTGCGGCCGCGTCTCCCTAGACCGACAGCGATCCCTGTGGAGGTTGACGCTTCTCAATCACCACAGCGTGTCCGCTCCCCGCGCCCGCAGATCCCATGGTTGCCAAGGCCAAGAAGGTTGCTTATTTCGCGCATCTCGAGGAGGCGCTCAACTCGTACGCGCGGGCGTGCATCGTCGACTTTGACTTCGTCGGCTCGAAGCAGGTCAGCGACATTCGCGTCGCCCTGCGCGGCAAGGCTGAGCTGATCCACGGCAAGAACACGATGATCCGCAAGTGCATCCGTGACATGGTTGCGCGCGAGGAGGAGCCGCGCGAGGACTGGGAGTCGATCGTCAACGTCATGCGC